ATTGTGTGAGTTACAACCGGATTAGAAGTATAAGTTGAGATGGGTTGATTAAACGGTAACCGGGAGCAAAGTAAAGCAGAGAGAGAGTTCGCCGTAACTGATTTCCTCTCTAGATTTACCCAAGTAGGAACAGGGTTGTCGTCTCTCAACCAATACAGTAAGGCTCTAATGTTGAGCGCCCAGTAGTACTATAAAATAGTTGGGGAGTGACAAGCCACCAAGACCATGGGGTAACTGTAACATCTTACTGCCAATCCGTGGATGTTTTTTATTCCAAATAAAGGACGGCAATTCACTATTTAAATTTGTAAAGAAAGTCCTGGTGAGGAACACTGGCACGCTCTGAAATAGATAAAGTAATTTGGGCAATATTGTCATTTGATCATGTTGATTCTACCCCCCAGGGATAGAGGCAGGGATGCACATGTAGCGATGTCCTTCTTAAGGTTCACCAGGAGAGGCAGAAAGTTTGCTGCATAAAGATCTTTGTGACTGTGAGTAATCCAAATACCAAGGAATTTAAATTTGGCAGAGCTAATTTTGAAAKGAACTGGACCCATATGCTGCTTTTCTATTGGGGTCACAGGCATCAATTCACTTTTTTGAAGGTTAACCTTATAACCAGATATATTTCTAAACTTTTCAAGTAAAAGAAGTAACTCAGGAACACTAGACAAGGGGTGTGAGATAAAAAGAAGAGTATCATCTGCATATAAGGAAACTTTATGTTCAGTGCCAAACCGATTAATACCTTTAATCTTAGGGTTGTTCYGTAAAGCCACTGCGAGTGGTTGAATCGCGATCGYGAATAAGAGTGGCGAGAGTGGGCACCCCTGTCTCGTACCACGTTCCAATTCAAAATAGCTGGATAGATTACTGTTAGTGCGTACTGCTGCCATTGGCAAGGTATATATCAGCTTCACCCATGAAACAAATTTAGGACCGAAGTTAAACATCTACAAGGTCTTAAAAAGATAGTTCCACTCCACCCGGTCAAACGCTTTCTCGGCGTTTCTCCAGCGAGATTAAAATGTCATTGCAATTGTGACCGGGTGGAGCAGAAGTATACAGCACATTAAACAACCGCCTGATATTAAAGAAGGA